TAGAAAAAGACAATATGAATCAAACTACGGAGGTCTATGTCCGGCAGCAGACTGATAGCCTGTGTATAAAATGATATCACGGATTATTATTGTTTTTTAATTTACTCTGATACGAAAATAAGTATGTAAATAAATGTGTATATACTATATATGTATCTGTGTGAAAAGAACCAACAAGTAACCCAACGAGATTATTTTTTTAAACATATAACTACTTTTACAATAATACAGTTATGGTACTTGTATGATTTTTATTAGACTGCATTGTAGTTTTCACATCAATCCTAAAAGTCATTTTCATGTATGTGTATAAAAAAATGTCTCTGCCGTAATATGTCAGTAGTAGCTAGTTGTATCTATCTTAGAATATTAACGTTATATGATACGTTGAACGTACTCCTGGTTTTATCAAACGACTGTCTGCGCAATGCGGTGCGTAACGATTGATGTGCAACTGAAAATGGACTTAATGGCATTCCTTGTGATTAAGAGAAAGTTATGTTCAGCACAGATGATTATAATTTTGCATCAACATTTTGGATGACACCGAATATTTTCATACTGTTCTCTTAGTCGTAAACCATTCTTACGACTCCCAGGTAAATAAAATTATTTTTTAATCAATTAAAGTTTCGAAGGGACATACAGTACATCTGATGTTAAATGATTTCTGCAGGCTATTAACACTTTAAACTACTTCAAATAAAGAAGGCGACTGGTGGTTTGTCAATAAATACATGGCATCCCTAAGGATCGGATACCTCACAGACTGTAATTATATTCGTTTACGCCTCTTCTGTATTTGTATATTAAGTAGTCATGAATTGACGGACAGATAGTATATATAGGATTAATTAAGAAAATAATGATGCTGTACATGACTGCATTAGACTGTTATGTGGCTGATACAATTTGGAGGCTCCTTTAAGAACAGCATTACTGTTATCATAGCTAACCAATGATTATAAAGAAAGCTCTTAAGGAAACCCAAGTGACTTCTTATTTAGTATAGAATTATATCTTAAAGAGATCAAAGGGTGTTGATAAATCTAAAACAAACATACAGCATCCATTAAACTATTAAGACCTGTCTCCATCTGTCCCAACTCACTAGGCATGCAATAGACTTCAGCAGTTGATCTATACCAGCAGAGAAGATATTATCAAGTAATATGTGGCAGACGCCAAGCCCAACTATCCAGGAAAAAAGATTAGAGGTAAATACAGCTAAAGAGGTAAGCAAATTCACTTGATCTTAGTTCATTCCAAATGATCTAAATACTACATACAAAAAAACTGTTTCATATTATAAAGTGTGTCGACACCAGTTCATTAAAGTGTGAGTCAAGCATGTCATTCCACATATATTGAGTTTAGAATATCAGTAAACGTTGTATTTAATACAGCTTCAAAATTAATTAAAACAAGACTAGTCTTAATTATGGGTCTACTCATTGGTAAATAACATGATATTATATATACATAGATGATAAAATTCAGAAAATAAAAAGAAGAAAGTTCTAGAATTGCTGTTAATTGGATTATAAAGTTAATTCGAAATAAAACATAACAATTACCTGAAAATGAATTTAAATTACTTGGTCTAAACTTATAAAATTATAACCTTTTCATATCGTAAATGAAACACAAATATTTCACATAAATGAAATGTCAATTAGTGAATTATAATCCACTACAATGATGTAGAACATTTGGTAATTTAATAGATAAATTAATATCTGTTTGTCCAGCTATCTCTTATAGGTAAATGTATACAAAACAGTCAAAGACAACAAACATATATTCAAAACTTTTAGTTTTTTTATAATAGGCCATTATTAATTTAGAGTAATATTAGTGTTAGCATTTGAAGGAGTATAAAATAAATAAACAATAATTCATAATGGAAAATTATGTTATCTAAATTTAAAGATTATGTTTATTGTTCGGTTTGTTGTTTATTGTTAATTATGATAATTTATGAGAGTAAATTATTAAAATGAAGCAATCAAATTTTTGAACATCTACATAGCATAGAAATACAGAAGAGGCATCAAAAAAATACTTATTTGATCATAGTAACTTACCTGTAAGTGTCCTTCGCTCAAAGTTATATAAAGTTCAGTTCAAAAGCATACTTGCATTTTAATTATTATTTTTTCCTTATTCTATTGGATTTAAAATCACAAGGACATGAGGTGTATAGTATTGCCCATGGGAGTTCATATTAGGTTGGGATACCAGTTAAAAATCTTATTTTTCCCCCGGAAGGTTAAAACTCTTGTGATTCGGTCCGTCGATTCATGAATACATAGTATAAAAACAAAGGAGGCGTCAACTTCATATTATTTTTTTCGAAGGAAACTTACAGGTACTACTTTGACCTAATAATTATATTGGTGAAAAAGATGGCCTCATTCGTCATCTCACGCTAGCAGTAGTGATCAATCAATTACGGACCCATTTACCTATACTACTCCTTCTCGGGTCTCGTTCTTCTCGGAACGCAGTGGGCGTGACTACTGAGTAAGACCTTCGACTGGAACCTTAACCGTTCTCTCAATTCATCTCACGCTTGCGGTAGTGATCAATCAATTACTGACCCACTTACCTATTCCTTCTCGTGTTCGGAACGCAGTGGGCGTGACTACTGAGTAAGACCTTCGACTGGAACCTTCACCATTCTCTCAAAACAAAGGGGTTGACGACTAAGATTAGGGATCTATAAGTAATGGTTCCGGTATTGACGTCGGTCGTGTACTTATTGAACTGTATTTCCCTTACTTTCCCTACTTTTAGGGAGGACACTGAAGAGTTCTTCAAATAAAACATTAATTGTTCGTAAATGACCCTTGAAAATGCAATAATGTAATTTCACTACTTTTATGACTTTCACTTCAATTTCCTTTATTTTGATTTCTTTCTTGATTTATAACTGGAAACTGTAACTTATCCCGAACTTCCCGAACGAATTGCAAATCGGGTGACTTACTTACTTAAACCGGAAGCTAAGCCGTAAGAAGAAAAGCCATATTGTATTAAGCTGATTGATAATGTATTGTATCATATTTTCATTTATTAACCTGTATCTGTATTGAAATAATACTAGTTTTTTTCGGAGTTGATCGCGTATATTTAACTTTTTAAATACCCGACGTTTCGAACGCTTTATAGCACTCATGGTCACGTTCAGGACTGAGATGTTCAACGTCCATATGTCATAGTTAACCGCGGTTACCATAGATTAAATTATCCTCATATATATACGTCACGATACGTCAGATTACAATTCTAAAATACAAGAACTTTTGTCGGATGTAAGTACTTATAAAAAGGTTAAAAACGACCCAACAAATAGCACACTAAAAACAACTAGTGACCTCATGAAGAAACACTCCGAAAAATTAAATCTGGACGTAAAATGGATAATACCTACGTGCGCCAAATCACCAAAATTGTATGGGTTACCAAAAATACACAAGCCCAATGCTCCATTACGTCCCATAGTGAGCCAAATCGATTCACCAACTTACAGATTTGCTCAACACTTAGCGAAAATACTCTCACCACTCAGGGGACATACAAGAGCACACATAAAGGATTCCTACCATTTTGTCAGCGAGATTAAAGACCTACATCTGGCAGACAATGAAACTATGGTCAGTTTTGATGTGCAGTCATTGTTTACATGCTTACCTGTTGAAGACTGCATATCAATTGCAACTAGAAGGCTGGAAGAAAACAACATGCCCGTAGAATATGCAGTATTAGTCAGACACTGCCTTACATCTGGCTACCTATTGTGGAAGGAGGAGTTCTACAAGCAAGTAGATGGTGTGGCGATGGGCTCACCTGTATCTCCCATTGTCGCCGACATATTCATGGAAGACTTTGAGGAGAGAGCCCTGCTTACTTCTCCCATAAATCCAAGGTTCTACAAGCGGTACGTATACGACACTTTCACAATTCTACCTTTAGATAAAGTAACTGCATTTTTAGACCATCTTAACTCTATAAATTCTAAAATTCAGTTCACAATGGAGTTAGAGGCAAACAATTCCTTAGCTTTTCTAGATGTGTTAGTAATTCGGAATCCTGATAACACCTTGAGCCATACTGTGTATAGAAAAAAGACCCATACAGATAGACATTTAAACGGTGATTCTCACCACCATCCTTCACAGTTAGCTACCGTGGGTAAATCTTTGTTTCAGAGAGCACGAGGGATCTGTGACAGTAAACACCTGGCTGCAGAGCTCCAACATGTCAAGCAAGTTTTGCATGACAACAAGCTTCGAGTCCCGCGCCTACGTCACAGTGAACGAGTGAAGCCGGCCACAGTCGAGCGTGTACCTGCTGTACTGCCATATCGATACCTTAATTGGCAAACCAGCCAACTCCACATTTAGTCAAAAAAATATTTTGGTATAAATTGTACGCAACAGTAGTTCGTCGTGATTTGCAAGAACGACAACTCCGATATGATCACAATTCTTTACATAAATCGCTATTAGAAAATCAGCCAACTCCGTGTGTTACGGAAGGTTAGGATTTTGACAGCCAACTCCACTAAGTCGGCCATTTTGTATGGCGTTCGAGTCGTGTACGGTTACCGCCCTACGTTTTGTTGAAGAAAATTATTAAAACGCGACAAAAGGAAAGGTAGTATTGAAAAATAGTTGAACATTAATACAAGGTATGGATATTTATTTACTTTTTCACAAAACAGCGCTAGTTAATAATATAATTTTAAGATTTAATATTGGCTAGGAGTTGGCTGATTTGCTTCTTAATTTTTCACACTAGTGTTGGGAGTTATCCATTTTTATGTTTATTAAAAAGTAATTAAATTTTAATGTTGATATTTTTATATATCTTTACTTTTAAAGTTAAATTGATATTTTTTATCATTTTTGGCTCATTTTTGTGCTTATGGTGATGTTTTTTTTATTTGTATGCAGATGTCCCACTCACGTGCTAAAAAAATACTACAAATAAGCATGCAAAATGAACAGCATGAGCTTAATGAAACCAATAACTCTGTTTTATTTGTTAATAACCAATTTCCAAATCCGTATGACGCTTTGGTTGGGCATGATAGCGTAGCTTCTAATTCTGCTTCATCGACTTTCTTTGATAATGGCTACATCGATTATATGGAAAATGAAAAGCACATATATAACCCTGAATCGTTTGACAGTAAAAATTTCGATAACCAAACATGTTCTAATACACAGACATATGAAATAGTGAAGAATGTTGCTATTGAGGACATATTTCCGCTTGAAACAGAACAACTCAGTCCAAGTTCTCACTCGGTTCAAGTTCTATCTCTTCGTCTTACTCCATCACTTATCTATAATTCTGAAAATGCCTCTAATAGTTTTGAACCATCTCAATCGTACCTCTCTACAAGTAATGATAAATCGGATGACGATTTGACTGTTCCTTTGATACAAGAAAAACTAACAGCTCATGAAACTATACCTCCTAACTTACCTACCTACCTGACCCCAACTGCCTGTCCTGAATTAATAAATAAATTAGTAGATTACAGTGATACTGATTCAGAATCGGAAGAACCGGTTATAAAAAGAAAGAAAAGGTGTCAAGTAAAGAAGGAAGAATGGACTAGTGAAATTAATAAAAAGAATAGAGAAAAGGGTAAAGAATATTGCGGTAAGAAAAAAGTTGATGGAGAGTGGAAAAAAAATATAAAGAAACCAAAAAAGGTGTTGAAACCCCGGTGCAGTTGTAAGGAAAAGAGAAATAGTGTTATTCAGTGTCATAGTATTTCTGAAGATGACAGAAAAATATTATTTGATAAGTTTTGGAATATGACTTGGGATGAAAAACGTGGATAATTTAGTAAAAATTTTACATACAAATAGGCAAAGAGAGTGGGGAAAGACCCTCAAAAATCTAAAAGAGTTAACACTTTTATTTACCACCTAAAAAAAGGTGAAGATATGATAAGAGTCTGTAAAACGTTATTTCTAAATACCTTCTCTATCGGTAAATCATGTATCTGGGGTTGGAAGGTTGAAGTTGGTGGAAAGAATACTGATGAACAATTACCAGAAAGTACTCCCAGAAATCCATTCGACCAAGAAATTAAAACTTTACAGGACTTTTTAGATGACTTACCTAAAATGCCTTCACATTATTGTAGAAAAAGGACAACACAGACATACATACAACCAGACATATCATCCAAACAGCAACTTTATAAAATGCACCCTCTGGAGAATTTTTTTATAAACTTAAATTAACTGATGAATATAAATTACTCAACCAACTCAGGAATGCCCGAATTAACAACATTCCTTTTAATAATATACCTAACCTATACAACAAACGCAGGAAAATTACAAAAAAAAGTTCTTAGATTTACAGCAATTAAAGAACTCAATGCCAAGAGATTACCAAAACTATTATGACAACCTTCCTCATGAAGCCTAAAATATATTTAACATTATTTGATCATTATTAAGTGTATTAACATATCTTATAATTAAAACTTAAAAAGAAGAATAAACTTTTATTTAAAATTAATTTATCGAGCAAACCAGCTAACTCCTAGTTAACATACATTAACAAGAAAGGAAAAACGGATAACTCCTAAAAACGCTGTAGTATTGTAATGAAAACGTATAAAGGGTTTTACAGTATTAAAAATAACAATTTACGATAATATCTACGAACGGTGTTTTAGATTTTTTTCATATGTAGTCTACAAAAAATATTATACAGTTTTAAGTGTCTCCTGAAAAACTTGCTCGTATGGAGTTAGCTGGTTTGCCAATTAAGGTATCGATATTTTAGAGGAGTCACTGACAAGATTGGCTACATCTTGAAGCGCGCTTCAACATCTTCATCAAAAACATACTTCAAGCCGCTGAAGAAGATTGGTCAGTTTTTACCATCGGTCAAGTTTAATGTCCCTCTGCAAGATGCAGGAGTGTACAAGCTTGATTGTGAATGTGGTCTCTCTTACATAGGACAAACTAAAAGATCAATAAAAACCCGCGTTAAAGAACATATAGCTGATGTGAAGAATCGACGCTCCGGGAAGTCTGCAGTCTGTGAACACGTACAGGATCGCCCCCGTCACTACATCAGATTTGATAGACCGCAGATCCTCGCTAAAGAACACCGATTCCTTCCAAGGATGATTCGCGAGGCTATTGAAATCAAAAAACATCCTAATTTCAATAGAGAAGATGGCTGGGTGCTACCATCTGCTTGGGATCCTATAATAAATGAAATTAAATCCCAACCCAAGCATACAACTGCAAGACTTCAAGATACCATAAGTTCATACTGCATAGATCGGAACAAAAGTTAAATTTTAATCTATGGTAACCGCGGTTAACTATGACATATGGACGTTGAACATCTCAGTCCTGCCCGTGACCATGAGTGCTGTAAAGCGTTCGAAACGTCGGGTATTTAAAAAGTTAAATATACGCGATTAATTCCGTAAAAACTAGTATTATTTCAATGTGTAGTGTTCGCGTAAATATAAGAAATCTTTATCTCTATTCCCCATAACAATATCGTAAAACAATTATATTTCACACAAAGCACAAAAACTAATACAAATACTGTTAAAACATTCACATTACATAAAGCATTAATAAAATATTAAACAAAATATCACAATTTTACAAGACATTTCTTATAGTCAAACAATGCCCAATTCATGGAAAATGTAAATATGTGTGTATACTTAATTAAATATCTGCATATTTATATTTAAATAACATTATGTTAAAAAAGGAACTCCGGGTAAATTGTCCATGGTAGTAAATTTTTTTCATAAGTTAAAGCTCGAAAATGCAACTTTCCGATCCGATTCTTAGGGAAAATTGTTTAAGTTTATGGATAGACTCACCTCTTCAGATATTATTGGTATTTGTACATTTTGAATAAAAATCCAACAAAAGACAGGTAGTGGCGTTGAAAGAATATCCACTACCCCATATTGTCTCATAGGTGTCGTAAGAGGCGACAAAGGTAAATTGGTAAATAAATGCGATTGACAACCTACTCGCCGAGCATGTTAACTATGGCATAACCCCCAAATAAGGCAATTTATGTTATGGGAGGCCTATATTCAGCAGTATACTTTTATAGTCTACGATGGACACCGGATGGTGGAAAAATAATAGTAATAATAATAATAATCTTTATTGATTAACATAATACATGCTAGAAATTATCAGTGGTCATTAGCCCCTTAACTATAGTCAACCAAATCTAAGAAATACATTTTGACAGCTGTCAGACTTATTGCACCAAGCATTCCAACCAAAAAATTGGAACGTACAATATTGGATTCTTAAAAAAATCGATATCGATTGTTTAGAGTTGGTAATCAGTTACAGTTTGGTTTGAATAATACCAGAATAAATAAAAAACGGATAATTCAAAACACCAGATTTATCATTTTCTTCGTATTTGTTGTTACTGATTATTTCTAGGGGCAAAGTTATAAAAATTTAAGAGTGAAACTAGATTAAAAAAAATTATTCAATCACTTTCAGTACGCTGTCGTTGTTAAGATTAATTATTATTTGATTTTGAAATAATCATTTTTTTTTGTTTTTTCTACCACTTTTAATCATCCATTGTGACATGGACACATGCTTCAACGAATATATATACAAAATAAGAAGAATTCGTCATATTTATATGATTCTCTCTCGTATCATGGAGGTCTTTTACATATTTAAATTGCAAATATATAATTGTATAGTTTATTTATATGTGAAATTGTAATCAAATATCATTTTTGTTAGTTTTTTCTATACATAATTATATTCTCACCACTATCGGTTGACTGATAGAGGTTTCCTGATGGCATGCAAGTCCATCCTTTGTATTCTGTTGTAAAAAGGAATGCAATAAAGAATAAATACAAGGAAAACACTTCGACTAGGAGCAACTATTATATAGAAGGATAGAGAATAACCGTAATATACAAATTGACGGATATTAAAACAGCAAGTCATTTCTTTAGTTTCGTATTGCCAAACAGTTTTAATTGTAAAAAAAAATTTACCTTATTATTTTTCAGCCATTTGTTAGCCACCAGATTCTTGTCTGAGATATCAAGTGTCTCTATTAACCGCACGTGCATCCTACTATTTAAGGGACAAGAATCTGGTAGCTAACAAATGGCGGTATATTCTATTGAAAATGCAGATATACATATATAAGATGTTAAAAAGTTAAAAAGCTAAGATCCGCTTAGTAAATTTTTAGCTAATTTATTTTTGAACATCCCTAAATATTTCTGCATTTCCGCAAAGTAATTTCTTGGGTTCTATTTCCATAGCATAATGTCGTATGGTATTTTGCTATGGGAACATGCGACTATAACTGAAATTATATTTCTTTTACAGAAGAGGGCCATAAGAATAATCAATAATTTAAAACATAAAAGTTCGCTCAGACAAAACTTTAAGGAAATTAAGATATTAACTTAGGTCTCTCAATACATTTGTGAAAATGTAAAAACAAAAATAAAATTAATTTTACAATAATGAGTGATATTCATTCCGTAAATACTAGGAACATACACAAGTTACCAAAAGTAGTACCAGTTACTTGACTTCATATGTATACGCTTTTATAACAAAATTCTCAAAAGTATACAATATGTGACCTGTTCAAAGTTGAAAGATTTTATTATTCTAAGCTTGTATAAAAAAGCTTATAAAATATTCTCAGCTTGAATTCCGAACCAGTGGTAATTAAACAAAGGAGTGATATTTTATTAAGTATTATTATAAGCTTTATAAAATAAAAAAGTTTCTGTTTCTTTTTATGTTACATAATATATTATGTATGTTATTACTCTAAGGTCTATGTCAAACACTTAATAATCTTTGAAAAATAGTTGCGCAGATTATAAATTGTCTACAAAAAATTTAAAATGATACCAAGAAATAACTATTGACCGATCGACTCCTTACACTGTAAATTTTGTGTGGTTTTAAATGTTCCTTTTTCAATATTAGGTGGAATGTATATTATGGTAAAATAGCATTTATTGTATGTTATTATTTATTACTAAAATCTTTTATTTTTTTATTTTATTCAACTTAACTTGTATGTATATCATAATTATGTAGCCAATATTTCAACCACTTTTACTAAAGATATTAGGCTAAAATTTGGCATACACTTTTGGTTCTTGTGTCAATGCACGATTACTTAAATGCCGCTATTTTTAATACAATATGGCGGACGTTACAAAATAGCGATTTACCATTTCCATTGCAACTCCTGTGTTATGAATATCAAATGAAAGGGCTTTTTAATAGTAACACAATTAATCAAAAAACGTTTTTTTTCAAATCCAATATGGCAGACGCTACAAAATTACGATTTATAATTTCCATAGTAACCCCTATGATATGAGTATTAAGTGAAAGGGCCTAATGAGCAAAATGCAAGAAGTAAAGTGACGTCATTCTAACTCCAGAAGGGCGAATGTTTAATATGACTAAGCAATATTAAGACATAGCTGATCTGATGATGGAGCTAGAATGTAGCCATGGCTAAAAATATGGAAAAAATGGCCGCCAAATTGAAAACATGTTATAGTCACCCTGTCTTACACCTCTCTGCAGTTGGATAGGTTTCGAACTCTGGTTCTGTACTTGGATAGCCATCGTAGGCCTACTGTACAAACACTTCAGCACTTCGATTGTCTTATAAAACTTAAATAGTTATGCCAAATCTCATACTCTTCTGTGCGCGCAATATGCTTAAAAAGGGTAAACAATTTTCCGTCGTTTCACTTTCGTACTATGTAATGAACGTACATTACATACGAACGTACGTATGTAAT